GAGAGAGAGAACCCCAAGCAGGCCCTGCGCTGTCAGCAGGGAGCCCGAGGAGGGGCTCGATCTCACAAACCGGGAGATCACGACCTGAGCCGAAATCAAGAGTCAGACGCTCAACCGGCTGAGCGCCTCTGTTTCCGTTTTACGAATGGACAAAGAGGTGCAGGGAGGGGAAGTGATTTGCTCCAGGCTGCCCTGTTGGAACCAGGACTCCTGGGTCCTTGTCCAGGGCTTCCTCCTGGGGTTCTTTTTCTCCTTTGCCTCTTTTCCTCCATTTCTTTACTTCCCTTTCCTTAGCCTGGAGCCCGGGCCTGTGCCTGCCACTGGCCAAGTGACGGGGCCTGTCCCTGGGGCTCCAGCTCCTCCAGACTGCGGCCTGCCAAGCCCCTCACCAGGGTGTCTGGGCTTAGGGGCTCATGACCCCCTTTGGGGCTCCTTCATTATGTCTTCATTTGCTCCTCCTTACTTCTTGACCATCCCTCACGGTGGGCGGGGGGCGGGGGTGCTGCAGGTGAATAACAAAGAAGGCTGAAGTGGGTTTTTGTCACTTTGACTCTGAGCCTCCGTTTCCCCATCAGTGTAACAGAAGTGCTCACCTTCATTTATTTTTATTTATCAGACATGTAGAGAGTGCTTGCTAAATGCAGGCACTGTTACAACCACTTTATAAATATGAACTCATTTAATCCTTGAAACAGCCTTATGTTGTAGGTAGTGTTATGATCCCCTTTCTGCAGGTGAGGAAATGGGCCCAGAGAGGTTTTGGGGCCCCTTGAGTGTCACAGGGCACAGTAATAGTAAGTGGAGGGTGTGATGCTCGATGCCTGACATATAACAGATGCTCAAAGACAGCACGTGATAATTGGATTTTGAGCCAGAAGGGACTCTAGAAAGGATGTGTCTTGACAAATGGGGAGATCAAGGGGCTGAGTCTTGCCCAGTGTCACACAGCAGCCAGGGCAAGCTGCCCACGAGGCCAAGATCAACACTGCTGCCCTCTTTTTCTTTCTGTTCATTGGTTTTCTGTGGGGTGGGGGGCAGATCAGGGGAGTCAGAGAAGCCAGAGCTTCTAGCTTCATGGACAAGCTCTTCAGAGGCAGGAAGGGAGCAGGGCTGGGGGGGGCGGGGAGGGGGAATGTTTCTGACCACTGGCCAGCTTTAAGTCCACTCCTGCCCACGACAGCTGAGAGCCCCAAGGGCCTGGCCTGGTACTTCCTGCACCTTGGGCAAAGTGGGAGACTTCGCCCGCAATTGCTAAGTGATCTTGGGCCAGTGCCTGGTCCTCTGCTTTGTGCTTTGCGCTCCCAGGGGGCACAGTGAATCAGATCTGACCAGCTCAGGCACTCAGGCAAGCTGCTTTACCCCTTCAGGCCCCACTTTCCTCACCTGTGAAATGGATAGAATGATAGGGCCTCATAGGGTTGTCGTAAGGACTTATTAAGAAAATCAACGTTAAGGGGCACCTGAGTGGCTCAACCGGTTGAGCGGCGTCTCACTCTTGGTTTCGGCTAAAGTCATGACCTCGCAGTTTCCTGAGTTTGAGCCCTGCTTCATACCCTGTGCTGGCAGCTCGGAGCCTGGAGCCTGCTTTGGATCCTGTGTCTCCCTCTCCTTCTGCCCCTCCCCTGCTCACATTCTGTTTCTCTCAAAAATAAATAAACATTGAAGTAACCTTTAAAAAGACAAGACAAGGAAAAGAAGAGAAAATCAATGTTAAAAGTCCAGGCCAGCTCCTGGCAGTTACGGGGTTCCAGAGCACCTACTATCTACTGCTCTGAACACTTCCGTTTATATTAACTCATCTAATCTTCATTCAGCTCCTGTGAGGACCACGATTATTATCCTCATTTCACAGATGTGGAAACTAAGGGACGTGCTAACAATGGCAGAGCTGGGCCAGAGGATCTGGCTCCAAAGTTCGTGCTCTTGGCTCTCTTCCAAGGCAATATCAGCCATGATCACGAGACTCCTGGGCATTCTATTTCTTGGCCTGACCTGGCCCTCAAGCCTAGACGAAGAGTCCAGGAAATTCTAGCTGCTCTTCTCCCCTCTCCCCGCTTAAGAAGTAAGTTTACATACAACAGAGGCCTCGTAACCTTTGAACCGCTCTAGATAGCAGGTACCCCCGCATAGGGTGGGTGCCTCATAAATGTGAAGTGACTCTGTCTAGTGGGCATCTCTGCATACAGTAAGTGACTCATAAATGTTAAGCTTCCAGAGAAGGGATGTGGCATTCTTGCTGCATGCTAATTAATGCTCCCTCATTGCCTCCCTGGTGTCTCCTTCCAGCTTCCTTACGGTCAGGGACCGGGAGATCTGTGCTGACCCCAGGCTGCCCTGGGTGAAGAAGATTCTGCAGAAGATGAACCCATGAGAAAGGGCCCTGCCCTGATGACCGTGGCCTTGGCTCCTCCAGGAAGGCTCACAGAGTCCCACCTCTCGACCGTTACAGCCGCCCCTCAACACAAGCCTGTGCCGATGGATCTCTCCGCAATCTCTTATCTCTGTGCCTGTAGCTGTCACCCTCAGAGGAGCCTCCACACTGTCACTCATCTCCCCTCTTGTCCCTCTAACCCATTCTCTGCCCCACCGCAGCCAGAGGGGCCGCAATCCTGGTCACTCTCCTGCTCAAAACTCTTCCATGGCTCCCCATTGCCCCAAGCTGAGGTGAGAGCTCCTGAGCCTGGCACCCCTGTCCCCAGCCCTGCCTCATTTCCCTTCACACATGTTGGACTCCAGCTCCCTGTTCTCCAAATCCGTGCCACACATGTCCACTTCCAAGTCTTTTTCCAGGCTGCACCTGACGCCCAGGATGCCTCCCCACCACCTGTGTGTATCCACCCCTACCAGCCCTCCGAGGCACTGCTCAACCCAAGCAGCCAGCAATTGAGTTTTATTTTTCAGATGTCCCCTGGCCCTCTGTCCCCTCTTAACAGCCTTGATCACAGTCTACCCAGAATTCTCAGGACTTGGGGAACTCATCCTACCGCCCCACTGGCTGGATCAAGGTCCCACACCTGTTACTTTGTCCATTGGCCTTCAACGCAGAGCACAGGGCCTGGCTCAGAATCAGGGCTCAATGAACGGCTACAGACTGAATCAATAAAAATAATGTTCCTCTGCCATGGCCCATCCCCCAAACGCCCTCACACATCAATACAGAGACTCAAGTTCATCTAGAAAGCAGCCAGTTGAGTCAATTGTGAAACTTCAAATTTACCCAGATTCACCTCTCTTCCCCATTTACCTCTGTGTTGGGCTTTTTGACTCTTTCTTGTTTCCCTCTTGCTCCTCTAACCTCTGACACCCAGGCTTGACCTCTTCAGAGTTCCCCACTTTCCCTTTCTCCTTCCCCAAATAACTGATAACCGACTTTATGCTATGGTGTGAATGACTACCCTTGGCTTGATATTGCAAGCTCTAAATATATTTCTATAAGAAAAGAGGGCAAATGCTTAAGAGGCCAAAGGGTTGAATGGAAAAGTTTTAGGAACTGTTTGGGAGGGGGACGAGGTGGAACTTTCCTGGCCCTGGGAGTGTGTAGGGTATAGTTAAGGGAAAGAGCCTTGGGTGGAGATTGTTCTCAGCTGGGAGGGGCCAGGATAAGGCCTGGGACTTGGGGCTTTTCTGCACTTCCTTGGGGACAATAGATTCCCCAGGTCAAGGAAATAAACTTTACACGTGCTCGTTTCTCTCCAAGGGAGCGTGGTGCAGTTTAGCAGGGTGGTTGATGCTGTGTGAATCTTAGGAGACCACTGACCCTCTCTGAGCCTCGCTTGAGAATGAGAAGACCCATATTATGGGGTTGCTGTGGGGTTCAGGTCCAAGACATGGGGAGCAAAACTCAGTGTCTTCCAGGGCCCGGAGCCCACGGTCATCTGCCCACCGTGAACACTGAAAGTGTTAACCTGCCCACTGCCCGCGCATAGGGCCCTCAAGCGTCCTGGGATTGCTCTCCCCTCCTGTCCTGCCCCGGTCCCTCGGGCCTTCTGAAAAATAAACCCTCTACCACAGTGTCTGCTTTGTGCCTTGGCATTTGCTGTCCCTGGGAGGTGGGGCAGGGGGCACGATCGCCGCCTCTCCCACGGGGAAGCCCTTAACATTACTGACCTGTGAGCTGGCCTGCCCAAGGTCACCCTGTGAGTCGGTGGGAAGCCAGGATTAGACGTCAGACCTGGGGAGCAGCTGTGCGGGTGCCGAGAGAAAGCTCCAGACATTCGTCCACCGGGCCTCACCTTCATCCCCCACCCCCCATCCTCCTCCCACACCCTCTTGTTAGGAGGATCTGATGAAATCACTCATTCAGTGCCTAAGTCTAGAGCTTTAACCAGCATATTCAGCCAGCCAGTCAGTCGTTTAGTCACTGATTCAATAACCCAACCTCAGCCTTCCCCCTTCAAGCGTCACCGCAGAGGAGGAGGAAGGTGTATTAGTCAGGAAAGGCTGTTTCCTGCAACAAACCGCTCCAAAATCTCAGTGGCTCAATTGCACAGAAGCTTTTTTCTTCGCGTGTGACACCTGATGCTGGTCTGTGGGCTCCTACCTTCCACGGGGTCATTCAGGGACCCAGGCTCTTTCCTCCTCACGGCCCCACCCTCCTCCGGGACCCAGACGGCTCCCCAACCTCCCGCGGATGGGGAAAGAGAACGTAAACTTGCGCGAGGACTTCACGAGCCAGGCCAGGAAGCGCGGCTCCTCGCCTCTGTTCGCCTGCCATTGGCGCAACTCAGTCACGTGGCCACCCTGCCTGCAAGGGATGCTGGGAAGCACAGCCAAGCTGTGCGCGGGGAGAAAGCGGCGGTGGGTATGGGAAGCGTCTCCTTCGTGTGCTCCTCAACTCCTCTGGACCTGCTTTCCTGGAGTTCTACCCTCAGCTCATTCTGCCCAAACAACAAAAAAGGACCCTGCTGTCCCTGGGACATCTTCATTATTTTCTCAGTGGACATCTTGGCACAAGTGGCCTTTGCTCCCCTTCAGATCTGGCTCTCACGGTGGGATTTCCAGGGCAGTGGGTTCAGACACCCAAGAGCACTTGTCTGGGAGGCAGGGAGAAGCATCGAGAAGAGCATACGCCATGCATTCAGATAAGCACAGGAACTCTCACTGACTGGGAGTCTGGAGCAAGTTCCCTGGTCTCTGAGCCTCAATTTCTCCCTCTGTGAACGGAGGCAATAAAAGCAGTTATCACGAGGTTAGCAAGAGTACGTGAGATTGTGAGAGTCCAGTAGATAAGAAGGTATAGCCTAAGATAAGCCTAAGCCAGTGAGATAAGACAGCCTAATACACAAAATGGGCAAAAGCTTGAATATATATTTCGCCAAACAAGGTGTATTCAAATGACCAATAAACACATGAAAAGATTCTCAACATCACTAGTCATCAAGAAAATGCAAATCAAAACCAGATGGCTATACCACTCACACTCGTCGGGATGTTTGTTTTAAAAAAGGAAAAAACAGAGCATGCAACTCTGGATCTCAGGGTTGTAAGCTCTAGTCCCACCTTAGGTGTAGAAATTACTTAAAAATAAAATCTTGGGGTGCCTGGGTGGCTCAGTTGGTTAAGCACCTGACTCTTGATTTTGGCTCAGGTCATGAGCTCATGGTTTGCGGGATCGAGCCCTGTGTTGGGCTCTGTGCTGACAGTGCAGAGCCTGCTTGGGATTCTCTCTCCCACTCTCTCTCTCTGCCCCTCACCCCACCCATGAGCTCTGGCTCTCTGTCTCTCTGTCTCTCTCTCTCTCAAAATAAATAAATAAATAAACGTTAAAAAAATAAAATAAGTCTTTAAAAAATCAAGATAAAATCTTAGGAAAGAAAAAAGATCGGTGAGCGTCTAGAGAAATTGCAACCTTGTGCATTGGTGGTGGGACTGTAAAGTAGGGTGGTCATGGGGGAAAATAGTATCGTGGGTCCTCAAAAAATCAAACGTAGAATTATCATCTCTTCCAGTAATCTCATTTCTGGGGATGTACACAAAAGAATCGAAAGCAGGGGCTGGAACAGCTATTTGGACACCCATGTTCATAGCAGCGTCCTCCCCAATAGCCAAAAGGTGGGCAGGGCCCCAGTGTCTGACAGGTGAATGGAGAAGCAGAAGGTGGTACACACAATGGAATTCCACACAATGGAATATGACTCAGCCTTAAAAAGGAAGGAAATTCCAGGGGGCGCCTGGGTGGCTCAGTCGGTTAAGCATCCGACTTTGGCTCAGGTTACGATCTCAGGGTCCGTGAGTTCGAGCCCCGCGTCGGGCTCTGTGCTGACAGCTCAGAGCCTGGAGCCTGCTTCGGATTCTGTGTCTCCCTCTCTCTGACCCTCCCCTGTTCATGCTCTGTCTCTCTCTGTCTCAAAAATAAATAAACATTAAAAAAAAAAACAAAATAAAAAGGAAGGAAATTCTGAGCCCTGCTGCAGCATGGCTGAACTTCTGAAGACATTCTGCTAAGTGGAACAAGCCAGTCACAAAAGGACGAACACGCTATGACACCTAAAGTAGTCAAAGTCATGGAGACAGAGAATAGGCTGGAGGGTTGTGGGGGCCAGGGGAGGAGTAAGTGGGAGTTACTGTTTAATAGGCCCCGCGGTTCTGTTTCGCAAGGTAACCAAGTTCTCGAGATGGATGGTGGTGATGGTTACACAGACATGTGAATGTCACTGAACACTCAGAAATGGTGCAAAAGGTGAATTTTACGATATGTGTATCTTGCCACAGTATAAAAGAAGGTATGGCCAGGGCTGTGCACGGACAGAGGAAGGGCCAAGTGCATGTGAACAACTCTTCTCGTGGACCAAAAGAGGTGAGCTGAGCAGAGCTGGGTGAGGTGGGGAGGAACTAGGCAGGACTGTCCCCCAGGGGCCCTGGAGATGGCCATCTCACTGGCCACCCTGTCCCTCCTACCATCCTGGGCCCCCACAGGAGTGTCCCTGGCACCCTGCTCTGCTGTTTCTGTTCTGCTCTGGGGGCTCGGGGAGTCCAGCCCATCCCACAAGAACACTCGGGCTGCCTGCTGCCTGGGACACCCAGGCGGGCTCCTAGACGGCCTGAGGAAGGTGTGCGGAGGATGCCCCTCCCCCTCCTCTCTACCGACCCCCGAGGAACCCTTTCTCCTGCGCTGTTCTAATTGTTGCTTTAGTTATTCCTCAGCTCAGAATCTCCCCAGCTCCCCTCTGCCCCTGAACAGAACTCTCACTCCTCACACCAGCTTTGAGGTGTCCAAAGCAGCCTCCCTGCCCACTTCGTCCTCAGAGCCAATGGCATGGGACCGTTCCCTATCCCCTTTTTCCCTTGGTTAGCTTTTCCCTCTGCCAGGAATGGTATGTCAAAATCCTGCCTATCTGCCCAGTGCGGGTTACTTACAGATCACAGAGGGGACAGGGGCGCCTGGGTGGCCCCGTTGGTTGAGCATGTGACTCTTAATTTTGGCTCAGGTCATGATCCCAGAGTTGTGAGATCGAGCCCCACATTGAGCCTTGCGTAGGGCTCTGTGCTGAGCGTAGAGCCTGCTTGGGATTCTCTCTCCTTCCCTCTCGCCCTCTCTCTCTCTCTCTCAAATAAAAAACAAAATGAACAAACAAAAAAACAAAAAACAAAAATCACAACGGGGATAACCCTTCTCCAGCAGAGAGACCGAGGGTAGGTGCCCATCAATCAGTCCACCAAGGGCAGCGGAACAACCTGTGTGCCATGATGGATATAACAGGTGTAATGTGAAAGATACAGCATTATTCATAACAGAGTCTTGCCAAGAACATGTAGCTGGGGTCTAATAGAGCCTGTAGATCTGACTGCAATTTACAGGAAGTGATTAGACAAATTATGAGATCAGTGCGTAAGACCATAGTTTTGAAACTCTTCAGAAAGTGGATGTGCAGGGGACCTTTTGTAGACTAAAAATAAATGCCAGTTGCAAGGCAGAAACCTAGATTGAACCCTGGTTCAAAAATAAAAGAGAGAAGGAGGGGAGGGAGGGAAGGAGGAATGGAGGGAGGAAGAAGGAAAGATAAAAGGGGGGGGAAGAAGGAAAGAGAAAGGAAGGTGAAGCTATAAGATACATTTTGGGGACAATGGAGAAATTTGAGTATTAACCAAATATTACATGACATATAGGAATTATTGTTAATTTTGTTAGGTGGGGTAATAGTATATTTATGTAAGACAGTGTCTTTACACTGTGGACACGCGTGCTGAAGGATTTAGGGGCAAAGTTTCAGACATCCATAATTTACTTTGAAATGGCTTGGCAGGAAAAAAAAAAAAAAGCAAATGTGGGAAAATGCTAATCATTGAATTTAGGTGCCGAAGATATGAAAGATCTTTGTTCCCTTCCTTCTTCTTTATTGTTTAGAATTTTTCAAAACAACACTGTAAAAGAAACAAAGCAAAATTCTGCCCATCTTCTGATTGAAACATGATCTCTCTCTCCTGCTCACCCCTGCTTTCCTTGATTCCTGGACAAGAATAAAGCCTCTCTCCCTGTCCCAGGCCCACAGCCTTAGAGTCTGTGGTAGGACTTCTCTTTCCTACCGAGCGAGGGCTCCTTGGAGCAGGGACTCCGTGTATTTGCCTTTGAGTCCCCGCGCCACCACAGGGCCAGGCACACACCAGGGCTCAATAGCAAATGCTCACGGCTCCTGCGTGCCTGGCCCTGTGAAAGTCGTTAGTTTTATGAACTCCCCCAGTGAGTGATTTGGTGAAGTCGCTGTTAGCATCCCATTCTACAGATGGGGAAGCTGAGGCTTGGAGAGATTAAATAACTTGCTGAAGGTGATTCTTTTCACAAGTGGCGGAGTCATGTTTGGCTTCAGGTCTTGGCTGACTTGCAAGTCTAGTTACTGTGTCCAAACTGAATTATCTAAACTCAGTCCTTAACACCTTGATAAGATAAGTGGGGAGTCATGACCAGTCTGATATTGCAGGGGCGGGGGGGGGGGGGGGGGGGGGAGGAGCTGGGCCGGAAGAGGGTAGAGATGTCCCCAGGGGCTGAACAAGGAAAAACTGAGCCGTACTTGGTGTTTGAACACCTTATGGGTGTAAACTCACTTAATCCTCAGCAGTCCTCACAGTGGGGATAGAGAGAGGTTGTGTGGCCTGGTGGTCATGAGCTCAGACTCCAGGGCCAGCTGGCTGAGGCAAATCCAGTCTCCCTCACTTCTTGGCTGGTGATCCTCAGAAAAATTACTTAACTCTTGCATTCCTCAGTTTCCCCATCCATAAAACGGACCGTGATAGTGTTTTGCTTACACGCTGGGTCACGGTGACCCAAGTTACTCATACAAAGTGCTTGACACAGTGCCTGTCTCAGAGTTAAGCGTGAACTCAGAGAGGTAGGAAAGCTGCCCAAGATCACACAGAAGTAGTACTGCGCCAGGGCCAACTGATTCCAAATACTTTCCATTCCAAATGCTTTCTAAATACTTCTTTGGAGCAAAGTCTGGGGCCAGGGGAACAAGTGTCTTAACGCCCCAAACACCTGGCCCAACCTGGTTCTTGTCCTTTGTGAAGTGGAGGGCTTCCTAGGACTTGTCCCTTGCCTCCCCCCTTCCCCTTCCTTCCCTTGCCCCTCCTCCTTCCACTTCTCCCCCTCCCCCTGCCCTGCCCTGCCCTGCCCTTCCTCCCTCTCTTCTTTCTCCCCCTCCCCCTGCCCCCTTCTTCATCTGCTCCTACCTCCAT